ACATTTTCAGTGAGAGTAGGATCTTGGTTTCTAGATGAATGAGAAATCCAAAATTTATCGTAGTAGTCTTCTGATATGAACCACTTCTTCTTTTCAAAACATTTGATAAGGAAGAAAGAAAAAGCTTAAAAGAAAGAAAGAAAGAGAGAGAGAGAGAGAGAGAGAGTAAGAGTAAGAGTGAGACGAGTGACCTGTCAAAAAGTTTAGTTTGTAGAAAATTGAGAAGTAAGAGCCGTGGGTCTGACGATACTGGTCGCATATATCGAGCGCGTGGGATCAAGAAAGTTGCTTGGCTTAGCCCTTGTAACCAAGTATAACGGGAGGGGGGAGGTAATATATACTAGTTTATATATATATATAAATGAGTTTGCGTCTAGTAGAAAAATTTATGTCATGGGGTTAACAAAGTCTTCCACCCCTCACTCATCCTTTTCCTCTTTTTTTTCTTTTTCTTTTTATTGTATTTTTTCAAAAACGTATAACATCCCTTTCTTTTAGTTTTTTATTTCTCTAAAAGAAAGAATGAGAAGCAACTCGCGAAATGTGAGGGTTAAAACTCGGTCGAATCTTATCGTGTCGAATCTTGAAATGTTCTTTTTTTTTTAACCATCATCTTCTTCCATCATACGTAATATATATAGATATATATTTTTCTCATTCTTCGAACGAACCCTTTTTTGAACATAAAATCTATACTCGAAAGTCTTTACGACTTTTTTCTAATGATCACCTTTGATCGTAAAGTTTGATTATCTTCCAAGCGAAAGGATTCGATAAAACAATAATAGTACAGAAAAAAAAGAATGATTCCTAGTACCAATAATATAACACAAAATCGTTTAATAAAATACAATACAATATATTTATCTCGAATAAAATCGATATTATCATTTTGACCAAGATGAAATGTCATTTGTAGTATAACAGTTAGTAGTCGTAAATAGTTGGCTATCCGTATATTACGGAAGTTACGTACATAAGTCTCTTGGATACGTTACAGAATATTCTACAATATATATATACAAGTAGTATATATACATACTTAGCCCTACACACACACATGAAATCTGTTCCTGGTTTTGCACGTGTGAGGAGGCGGGAATATAACCAAGGGAGAGAGAGTTTCCATTCATCGAGTCGTGGATATCAAACGCAATAGTTCATGGCACGCTTCCGACTACTACTACTAGGTACCTAGGACTAGGGGTAGGTTAAGAGGTGTTCAGAGTATGGTGCTGGGTGGTATTCTGGATACTAGGACTACTACTAGTCCTAGTAGGATCTCCTTCCTCTCTACCTCCTAATCCAACCACCCATCGTTTCACACCGGTTTCTGGCAGATTTACAGTGCCGCGATGTCTGATATCTGCATCCTAGAGTCCGCACGACTAGCTCTACCAACCAACCCTCCCTCACCAATCCCCCTTTTCAACCCCTTTTAGTCCCTACTCTACGAGCCGTACGCTCTTCGTCAGTCGGCTAACTTTGTGAAACCCTCTCGAGATCCGTTCTTCGTTGAGTTGGCTGTCTGACTGGTTGGTTGGCTGGCTGGCTGGCTGAGCTGAGCTGAGCTGACTGGCCAGCTYGTTAAAATCGTCTTGATGATTAGCGAGATTTATTATTCCCGGGATTTCTTTCCTCTATTTTATTCTCTCTCTTTCTCTCTCTCTCTTGAAAGAATTATTCTCAACTAGTTTTTTTTTTTCTTTTAGAGCGTTCTTCGAAAAGTCAAAGTTTTTAAAGGAGTGTTGATAGACTTTCTAGACGAGTACCACTTTACCCACAGTTTTCAATAATGACCGACATTTTTAAAGGTATTAGGCGAAATTCAGTATTATTTTTAGTAATATATATAGTCAAATGTAATTTCAACGATAGAACACATTTCTCAAACGTGAAATGGTTTTTTATTTTTTTAATAGATACACGATACCAACCGTGTACGAGAGAGACGATGCTTCTTAAAAATTTCTAAGAACACGCGATGAAAGTTTTGTTATATCGAGAAAAGAAACAAAAAAGAAAAGAAACAAAAAAGAAAAGAACAAAAAAAAATACCTACCGATCAGATAAGACTAATCGCGTAGGATAAGCGTCGATCGTAGCAAAATGAGATTGCAAAGGAAATCTAGGTAATGCGAAATAAGCACGGCATCGAAATGAAGTAGCATCGAAATTGGTATAAAAACTTTGATCAAAAGAAAGAAAGAAGACTACTTTTATCCAATGATTACAGAGAAACCATATGTGTGTGTATACGTGCACGTAGATTAGATGAACGAATGTGTGTATGTGTGTTTGTGTGTGTAGGTAATATAAGCGTGAAATAGAGAGCAAACATAACAGAAGACTTGGAAATCAAAACGCAGAGGTTGTAGTAGGAAGGATACATTATCATCATCGTTATACCTCGCACACCTTTGTGATATACTGAGGCGTATGAAATCATTCTCTAATCCTCTTGTGTGTAGGGTCGTATGTCGTAACATCGAATGGTTTATATCAAGCACACGCTTGTCTCTGAATGCTCTTTATCACCGATGGTTCTATATAATCGCTCGGGAATGCGTAACCAGTGTTCGGCAAGAACGTGCAACCTGACCGAAATCAAAACCAAAGGGAAATAGAAATGATAACCAGACACTACCAACAAACTATATTTTTTACCCAATATTTATAATATACAAGGGGAAAAAATTGTTTTTAACTCTAAGGGTCAAAAAAAAAATCATATGAAAATGTTTTCCAATTCGTTGATTCGAATGTGAAAAAAAAAAATACTCTGATGTGTGTGTGTGTATTATTTCTTATTTACGTGATGAGAGATATTCTCGGGGAAAAAAATAGGTTTGAGGGCAAAAAATACGAGGGAAGGTGGGGGAGAATTACACAAAGATGGTGAAAATTTGTGAAATTATAAAAACGTAAAACGAATTCTCATAAATAAATGTGTTTGCTGTGCATGCACGACGATAGCAATTCCATTATACGTTCTCTTTGAACGAGGGGGATATGTTGTGGTAGTGTGTGTAAATACAGCTTGCACGAAAATATTATATGAAGAAAATATGTATTGGTGGTGGTTGTGGTGGTGGTTGTATTATATGTCGAATATGCGTGTGCTCTACATATATGGAAGAGAAGAAGAAAATTTCAGAATTGACGGATATAAAAAGTGTTTCGATGTGCCAGAACACATTTTTAGAATGGCCTCGAGTTTTTCTATACTACTAGCAATGTATCTCATTTTCTTAATAGGAGGGTTGATTTATCAAAATGTCACGTAATGTATTTTTAATTTATACTTGCTTTGTTGTATTAATCTTTGAATTATATCTCATAAATGTGTTGATTATTTTTATTAAACAACGTAATTGCAACAAATTGATTATTTTTGTGTTCTCGAAGAAAGGTATTGCAATAATATTTTTAACAATAATAGTATTCGCAAGTAAATTAATTTTTAAACGTGCATTAAAAAAAATATTCGTACAGGTGCATGAACACCCAACGCACGCGCACAAACGTGTAGATTTAAGTTAACCGATAAAAGCGCAAAAAAAACCTGTATGCATGTATATAAATATCAACGATTCTTAACGACCAGTCGTAAAAAGAAAAATGCAAGGAGTATTTTGCGGCTGTTGGACAAAAATTATTAATGATAAAAAATGAAGAAAATTGTTAGGCACAAAAAGATATAATGCGGAAAAATGGTCGATCCCCAAAAGGACTGGTTAGGTGAAAACGTTGAAATAATAAAATAATGGGATAAACCGTAATGACTGCACCGAGATTTCATGGATTCTTTTTTTTTTTTATTTAGGTGGCAAGGTGAGAGAAATCACGAATGAAAAATTATAATTGATATAGATGAAACGGAAATGTGGTGCAATAGTAGTAGTAGTAGTATTAGTAGTGGGAAAGATATGCTAACGTTGGAAAAGAAGAAAGAATAAGGGCTTGGTATATTTCGAAGTTAGGTGAAAAAAGTAGGTCGGGTCGGAAGATAGAAAAGAAAAGGAAAAAGGAAAGAAAAATATGAGAGAGAGAGAGAGAGAGAGAGAGAGAGAGAAAGAGAAATACAGTAGAAGAAAAAGATAGAACAGGTTGAATCAAAAATATAAAGCGTACTGGCTAGAGACTTACAAAGTAACATGAGAAAAATAGAAAAGAAACATATGTGAGTTAAAAGAACGATTGCTTTCTTCGTTTTTGAAAAGATCACATATTATTCCTTTTATGTACCCACATCTTTCTATTATTCTTTTCTCAATTATTATAGTTTTAATTAAGAAATAAACATTTATATTACAAGAGAGAGAATGAGTGTTTGTTATTGTTTGTTTTTTCTTTGTAAATTAATTGATAATACAAAATGATAGAAATAATAATTGTATTATACATTCGTGTGTTGTCGTTGGTGGGTACATATTTACTTTTATGCATGTATTTACGCAATAAATCACAGGAAATATCACGAAGCGCAATGGAAGAACTTAAACTTGCGACTCCCTAATCCACTGAATCAAACTTTATCATGGAAAATTCAAATTCCATAATAATTCGGTAAACAGTAAACTTCAACTACCTACGATGCTTTAATTTTCTCTTCTGATTCTGTTCTCTTCTAGCACCTTTGACCGTACGAATATTTGTTTTTATACTACTTGTTTAGAATAATTATTAAAATATCCTTCTTTATTAGACAGACAAATTGTTTTGAATATTTTTTATTGTTCTTTAACAAGAAATAATTAATTTAAATAATCATTTCTTTTATTGAAGATTTATAAACTCATTAATCAATCAGTTTAAATAATTTCTTTTAAATTAACATGTGTAATATATTTTAATTGAACACTTTAAGAATTATAAATAACTTATGATGTCATATTTTTGAGTAAAAATTATAATAATAATTGTGATACGAAAAGAAGGTAATTAAAATTGAAATTTTAGCAAATAGTTTTATTTAACTCTCTTATTTGTGATCACAGGTGGCATGGTTACGAGTTGATACGCAAACCATACTGACGATAGCGAATCACGTGATAACGAAGAACCACAGAATCTCGGTATCTCATAGTGACCACCGTACGTGGTTTCTCCACATACGCGAAGTCAGGGAGTCTGACCGAGGATGGTATATGTGCCAGATCAACACAGATCCTATGAAAAGTCAGATTGGTTATCTCGAAGTTGTCGGTGAGTATTATTTTTATCTATTTATCTATCTATCTATCTTTTCATCTCAACGATATATATCTAAATATAGATATATACATACTTCATTTAATCAATCGTATTTTATTCATTATCCTTTTCGCGACAAAACCACTTTTACCTTCCTGTGATTTTATAAATGCTTAACACCTTTCGATAATTAACTTTGATTTCATTAAAAGACAGATTCACCATTCATTACTTTTCTAATAATAACAATAATAAAATATATGCATTTTATTTTTATTTCTTTGATATTTAAACCTCAAAGTAGAGTAAATTTACTATGAAAGTAAATTTACGCGTATTATTAATTATTATTACCACTTTACTCTCGTGTAATTCTATAAATACTTAACACCTTTCGATAATTAGCTTTGATTTCATTAAAAGACAGATTAACCATTCATTATTCTTCTAATAATAATTAAAAAAATACCTGCTTATTATTTTATTTTTTTTTTTTGTATTTAAACGTTAAAGTAGAATACATTTACTATAAGAATAAATTTACGAGTGCTTATTAATTATTAAAGATTAATTATTTGATTAATTATTAATACAAAAATAAAATACATTATTTCTTTTTCTTATATCGACATTTTGTAATAATTTCGAGCAGAGTTACGAATTGTCATGTTTGTTCGAAGATAGCAGATAACACAACCGGTTTCTCTCGGATCCTAGAAACGGATTGTAGTACTAGCAGTATACGTTAACGGTTCGCGTCCGAAATAATTATTGTCAGGATGTTCGCATCACGTTGATAGCACGCTATCTGATACATGGGTATAATTCATGATATTTCGGACCCTACGCGCGAGAACGCGGAAATTACATAGGATTTCGCACTTTCCTCTCTATCCAACCATACATACTTCGTTCTCTATTTCTGTACAATCGATTATTATTAAAGACACATCTTCGATATTCTCTCTCTCTTTCTCTCTCTCTATCTATCTATCTTTTCACACTTTAAAAATATCATACACTATAGAAATAAATCTGATAGAAGATTAAACGTAATGAAATACAATATAATAATATTTGTTTCTTTCAATTTGTCCTATTTCAAATTTGATGATATTATTTTATTTTAATTATTATTAAATATAATAACACGCGTATTGGATATTATAATATCGTTTATTATAGAATCAATCTATCATAGCTTTTGTTTCTACAAATTCTATTTCAAATGTATTATATTTTAATTCATTGTGTAAACGTATATTAACACCCTTCTGTTCTTTATGAAATAATATATATATATATATATATATTTAAGCTGAAAACATGATAATTTTCAACTTACAAAAAGGGATAGGGTGTACACATGGTAGAAGTGAGAAGGTGTAGTAATAGCTTCGTTTGTAATAACGAGAGGGGCAGAAGACTCTACATTTAATCCTACACTTTTCGTACTTGTTATTACAAACGTACTTATCCTCTATTTGCATAAGCGCATTTAAATTTATACCAACGGCGATTTCTACGATATTTTATAATTTTATGTGATAAAAATGAAACCCTAAAAAGGAAAAGAAAACAAAGTACTGATTTAACAGATTACAGATTTATTAAATACAATTTTTTTTTAAAACAAAACTAACTATATCGCAAACTTAATACTACGAATAATAATCTTTGGAATATTGAATCGAATATTATCAAACAATAATTTGAATTTATTCACAATAAAACTCTTCTTATTATTTTAAATTATCAAAATTATCGTTATAAATAGTATCGATTTTTCTTTTTCTTTAATAAACACGCATAATATACATACACTTACACATATATTAGATAAGGATGAAAATTGCTAAATTGACTGACGAATAGAACAGGGCTTATTACCAACGAAGATTACAAGTTTTTTTTTTCACTTTTTTTTTCCATTCGAAAGGGGGACGTAAAACCATGCTTGGAAGCTTTAACATTCGCTTAATTTGCAAGGCATTAACCTTGTTATATTATGGGTAGAGCAATATTATGGCTAGGTGGTGGTGGTGGTGGTGGTGGTGGTGGTGATGATGATGATGGTGTTAGTGGTGGTGGTGGACTTTGGTAGACTCAGAACAGTAACGTAGTACACTCTGTGCACGTACTACTCGTGGCACGCGAACGATCTTTACTACCCTTCTCGGAAATGAAAAGCTCCCCTCATTCCCCTCACCCTCAACCTCCTCCAACCCCTTCTAGTACAGTGTTCACTTTCTTTCTCTCTTTATAAGCGAATGCGCGAGCAGTAAGCTTAGTCTTCCGTTTGTATCGCCAACCCCAAGTACAAACACTCTTGCCTCGTATATCTGATACACTTTTTCATTTTATCTCTATCTCTTTCTCTTTTTTTTCTTTTACTTTCTCTTTCTCTCTCTCTTGCTTTTTCTGTTTCGGGTCATCAGGCCACTCTATTTCTAGTTGCTTTTGATACAGTCCAGGCAATAAAAAAAAAAAAAGGATACTAAAAGTACAGCAAAAGGTGGTTCTTGTGTCTTGTTCCATACGCAAAATTATTTTTCTCTTTTTTTATTTTTTCTTTATCCTTTACCCCCTTTTTTCCTTTTTTTTACTTTTACTTTTCAAACGGATTTTCGACATACTTTTAATCTTTTTTTCTTTTGTTTTTCATCTCTTTACTTTGGTTTGGTTTTAATTATTATTTCTCTTTTTTTTTTCTTTCATTAAAAATAATATATTTATATATATATATATATAAATTTTAGTTTTTGATTTTTGCACTCGAGGTGGTTTTAAAAAGAAAAAGTATATAAAATATTTGAAGGAGTATCGTCGAAAATTTTCACAGAAATTTCGCAAAATTTCTCGCGTGAACGAGTGCGTATGTGTCTCTAAAATTAACAGTTGCTACTTTGTATTATATATACACACACACATATATACATATTTCGAAATGCTTTCATATTGTTTTATATTTTATCAAATTCCAGTTTCAGTTTATATGTATAAATAATGAAATTTTCATTAATATGAAATATTTTATGTTTAATATAAAACGATTGATGGAAAATATAATTTATGAATATTATCAATCAAATGGGAATAAATTATTAGTAATAGGTTGATTATATTGGGATCTCTAGCACTTGAATACGCTATCTGATGGCTAAATTTAAAATTAGTATACATGTGCCGAATTTCTAACAGCTGATTTCAACTACACTTATATTTATGTAGAAATATTTACATATATTTTTAATTTTATGACTTGTTTATTTATTATTGAAAGTAAAATTGAAAATAACTAATATCGTTAAAGTAAAAAGTTGTTGCAAAGAATTTTTTTTTTGGTTATGGAGTTTCCAGCAAGAAAAAATAAAAATAAAGTGTATTGCTGTGAATTTGGTTGTACAAGCAAAGCTTGTGATGAAAAAATTAGGTTTTTTCATTTTTCACCTCCTAATAAACATTTTGTTAACGACTTGGTACTTGTCCACACTTAATCACATGTCCTGCATTTAATACACTTTCATAACCAACAAAATTTTTATTGCTTAATTTTGTGCAAGCAAATTTAAAAATTTCTTGCAATGTAAGTTTCATTTTATTTCATTTAATTACAAAAAAAAAGATAATTTTATAAAAATCTTTTTACGTTGTTCTCTAGTTTGTTTATATACGTAATGCACAATGACCTACAGACTCTAGTTCATATTTTTGCCGCTAGGGTAAGCCACGCCTCTGTCAGAGATCTCAATACTTCTTAAATAAAGTTAGACAAAAAAAAAAGGACAGAAAATTTATTTGTCCGTTTAAAGTAACACTGAATGTGTTAGAGTGTACACGTTAAATCATTTTCCATACTTACCTAAGGCGATCACGCGTGCTGTGTTCATCTCAGTTTTCCAATGAATTAATACTTCCTTAATTAGTCGTCTCTACTCGCTACGTGCCAAATTTGGAAGAGCATTTTCCAGTAGCGTGTGCCGTGCAAAATCATAGTTTGCCTGTGAAATCGCCTTTCCAACCGTGACATGTGCTAATAATGTGAAAGAGAAAGAGAAAGAGAAAGAGAGAGAGAGAGAGAGAGAAGAGTAACAAGCAAGCTTTTGTAAATTACACGTCGTAACGAGCTTTGCTTGCCGGATAATTATTTAATATTCGTATAAGGCACACAGTTAGTAGATTAAGAAAAATATTTCTTTGGGGGAAAGAAGAATAGAAGGGGAAAGGGTTAGAAAAAAAATAAATTAATTAAATGTTACATAATTTAATTATTTTTTTTGATCATCGTTTTTAATTGAACGAAACGTATAGGCGTTCTTTTTAAAGTTATTTTTTTTTTTTTTATGAAAAACAAATATAAAAAGAGAAAAAGAGAAAAAGATACTTTCGTTTGGTGGGAAGAAAAAAAAAAGGGATGATCATTTTAAGCCGAGTAATAACGTACTCTATGTATCAAGGCTTATTTGTAATGAAAAATCCATCGAGAGATTCACGATTAAGGGGGCAAAAAGAGGAAATCGCTCGACACAAAGACGGGTTGGGTACGAGAAAGAGCAAAGAGATAGAATGTAAAGTAGAAAGGTAGAAAAAAAAAGAAGAAGAAAGAAGAGTGTGAGAGAGAGAGAGAGAGAGAGAAAGAGAGAGAGAGAAAGAGAGAGAGAGAAAGAGAGAGAGAGAAAGAGAGAGAGAGAAAGAGAGAGAGAGAGAAAGAGAGAGAGAGAGAGTGAGTGAAAGAGAAAGAGAATCCCGTTTACTTTCAGAGGTAGAAAAGTACATGTATATATGTGTACACATGAATTGCATATATACATATACATATATATATATATTCTTGGCATTTCGACTCGCAGAAATGTTCGATCGGTCTCGGGACCGCACTTTGCGCGTCCTATACGATGCATCACACTCACTCAGTAAAAGATTTCTTAAGCGACGAAAAGAAAGAGAGAAAGAGAGAGAGCTTTTCTCTTTTTGCCAGAGCCCTACAGATCCGCAAGAAAAAGAGAGAAAGG